GCTTATGATCATCTTGGCAAGATATTATATGTGTTGCGGTTATGTTATTTACCTTTCTCTTCTTAAGAATGCATGCTTACATGGATATTATTGTCTTGTAAGTTGGCATAACCTTGATTTAAAACGTTTAATTCAACAGGAAACCTAATAGGGAGGGTATTGGATTTTCGAACACTTGAGTAATGAAAAGATGAGAATATGTGATATATGGTTTGTTAGGATGCATTCCCTATTTGGAAGTTAAGGTCTTGCGCAAGTGGTTTTCGGGACCCTTGAACGGAGGGTTGTATTCGGACCCTAGGTGGTTTGGTGTGAGGAGGGATTCAGGCAAGGCCCTATTTTACCGTCTCTTTTGAGGCCTTGCGGTTGGCACTACGCGGTATATAACCGTTGGTAGGCATCCAAGGTTAGTTCTGCAACAAAGCAGCAAAAGATGGGGCATACCGAATAATCCGCGTCCGATTCTTGTGGTCGTGAGGACGAAATCTCTTTGGGGGCTTTCTAGTTTACTAACATCCAACCTAGCTCTTTATTTATATTGAATATCATGTTTACTACTTGATGTTAAAATTGTGATTGTGTATTGGACTGAGAAAAGGGGACGGGGTGTGTGTGTGTTTACTGGGCATTCAAAGCTCACGGCGTGTCATGCCAGGTGACGAAGTGGAACTCATAGCTGGAGACGACGAGCCTGAAACTTTCGAAGACTTTTGGCTATCTTAGGGAAGCTAGAAATTTCTTTTTGATATTTTGTAAGACTCACGTGAAGATTTAAACTTTCTTTTGGATGTAATGTAATGGAACAAGCTTTTGAATTAAGTATATTTGTGATTGTTATGTATTTATATTCTATGTATGAACCTTATCGTTGCTTATGAGACCTTGTGTTAATACCTTTTAAGATATGTCAAAAAGGCAGTGCGCTGCCTAAGAAAGCTGGACTTAGAAGGGAGGCTAATTTGACTCCTCTGGCGATCTGAAATCTTACTTGGTTATTGACCATAGGACTCATTAATGACTCTCCTTTGACTGCAACCAATAGTGTAGAATCGGGGTGTCATAACAATGCTTGAAAAAGGCTGCAGTTATAAAAACTAGATATCAATTGAGGAGATTGTTTAGTATTATTCTCACCCAGTGCTCTTCACTAAATCCATGTGTATTGTGGAATTCATTTTCAATGCATATATGTGATGATCTTGCTCATAAGATTCGTCAATTGTTTGTCATTTCTAAACCAACTGAGGCTCAAATTGAAAATTATGGTCTTCATCTTTTAAATCAAATACTTCATGAATCAGGCAAAAGTTTAATTGACTTCCCACCCATGCCACAACCTACTACAAATTGGAGTGCAGTAGTTGGTAATCGATTGATATTCGAACATCAACAACTGCAGAGTGAGGCACAACATGTAGATCCACAAATTACTATTGATTGTCTCAATAATGGACAGCGAAATGCTTATAACACACTCATTTCTTCAGTTTTTCAAAATAAAGGAACTGTTTTCTTTCTGAATGGGGGTGCTGGAACAGGGAAAACATTTCTGTACAATACGATTGCATTAAAATGTCGCAGCCTTGGGCATATCGTTGTTACTGTGGCTTCGTCTGGAATTGCATCATTGTTACTGGTAGGAGGTCGCACTGCACATTCAACATTTTCCATTCCATTAGATGTCTTGGAAAATTCACTTTGTGGGTTTAGCAAACAATCATTACAAGCTGGGTTATTTAGATAAACAAAACTCATAATTTGGGATGAAGTTCATATGCAACATAGACATTGTGTTGAGGCGATTGATCATATATTGAGAGATATTTGTGATAGTGAAAAGCCATATGGGGGTATTATTGTTGTTCTTGGTGGAGACTTTCGACAAATCTTACCAGTTATACCTAAAGGAGTTCCTGAGCAAATTGTGAATGCATCATTAATACACTTTGTTCTATGGAAACATATATATATATATATATATCTTAACTTTGGATTTGAATATGCGCTTGAATCATGAAGGCCATGAAAATGCTAATTTTTCAAATTTCTTGATGGAGGTAACACTACTTTAACCTTTATTATATATATTATTTTAAATTAATAAATTGTGTTTACACTCTCACTTTTTTATTGATTTCACTTTTTTTTTAAATTGGGATCAATCCTCAAGAAATCGTTAACCTTCATCAACAATACATAAATATCAAGATTTATATGAATTACTTTCTACAGTTTATCCACAATTGACTATGATAGAGACGTCAACCCTAACTTTTTTAACTGAACGCACAATTCTGTCTGCGCGTAACAATGATGTCAGTGACATTAATATTACTGCGTTGAATATCTTTCCAGGGTGATTATATATTTATCTTGTAGCAGATAAAATATCTGAAAATAATGAAATTGATCCTACCATTACAAATAAATATCCTAATGAATATTTAAATTCAGTGGATCCTCCTAGGCTGCCAACTTTTAAGTTAGAGTTGAAAGTGAGTTGTCCTATAATATTGTTGAGAAACATTGCACCGAAAGATGGACTATGTAATGGTACAAGATTGATGGTTACTAGGTGCAGCACTCACATAATTGAAGCTCAAATTTTAACTAGAGAAAAGTTTGACAATTTGATATTCATACCAAGGATATCTTTGACACCATCTTCTTCAGAAATGCCTTTTCAAATGACAAAACGTCAATTTCCAATTCGATTGACATATACCTTGACCATTAATAAATCTGAATGAGAATTTGTGAAATTTGTTGGGGTTAATTTGCGTATACCAGTGTTTAGCCATGGACAATTATATGTGGCATTGTCTAGATGTACATCCTTTGATCGTATAAGTATTCTTCTCCCTAAAGATAGTTTGGATTCTACTACAAATATTGTTTATTCTGAACTGTTGTTGTAGTATTCTATGTAGATTAAATGACGTTTTATTATAAGGTAACCATGTAGATTTATTTCTATTGATTATATAACTTTTATAAAATTTCAATTTAATAATAATTTGAAATTTGGACTTTTGTAGGATTGGACCGAAAAATCCATAGAGCTTAAAAAGAGAAATATGACTAGCTTGCTTCGATGGGGATGTAATAAGGTAATTTTAATCTCAAAGTATTTTGACATGTATATTTCCAACAAATGTACTAATGTATATTTTTTTTATTTCCACAAATTACCAGATTGTTGTGCATATTCCTCATTGGGGATACATACAAATTGATACAAAGACTTTTTGGAAAGTGATGAGGAGGAAGTTTGGGCAAACACATATTTGAAGACATGTTATTGACACATCTTTTGTGAAGCATACATATTTTGAAAAGCTTTAACCCACTTTTTGTAAAGTTTTAACATACTCTTTTGGTGTATGACAATATAACTTTAATTTCTGTTTTTTGTTCAGTGTTTATACTTTTTTTTACTGTCTTTTATAATTTGATATACAATATAACTTTAAATCTTATATGTTTGTTTCTTAATTTGCATTAAAATTAGGGGGAGTTGTTATTTTATTTGAGTTTTGTAAAGCGTGTAATACAAGCAAAATTGTTATAAATTCTTTAGAAGAAAAATATTTCAATATATTTTTTTAGTATCTTTATCAAAAAATGACACAAACTTCATAAATTTCAACATAATACATATAAATTATAACTGTATTTTAATCTTAAAATTATTTACACCGTGCCTTTAGGTACGGACATACACTAGTTATTATATAATGTGAATATATTTTTAATTGACAACACATAAAAAAATAATGTAAACATTTTCTCTCATCTGATGTAAACGTTCACAACACATTTTCAAAAAATTCTCTCATCTAATGTAGTAATGTGAACGTTCACAACATATGAACCTTCTTATTTTTAATTTTATTTTTAATTGACAACACATTAAAAATAAAGTTTATTATATTTTTAATTGACAACACATTCTTATTCATAATATGTAATGATGTGAACATTCTCTCTCATCTAATGTAGTGATGTGAACGTTCATATTTATATGTTTTAGTATAAATATTCACATTATGTAATTGACAACACAATGATAAAAATTTATTTCAAATTAATGTAAATATAATGATGTGAATATTCATTTCAATTACATGATGAGAAAATTCACATCATGTAATTGACAACACAATGACAAAAATTCATTTCAAATTAATATGAATATAATGACAGTCAACATCCTGATGCATGGGAACTACCAAAATATGATAACAATTAACATTAAATATCAACATTAATATGAGGCCTGAGAGATTGAGGGTATTTTGGCCTTCTTACCTCAAATAGGACCTAATAAAATAGTAAAAAAAAATATGGATTGGATGAAATAAAACTCTTAAAAAGATGATTTATCAAAAAAACTCCCAAAAAAATATGTCTCTTGATTTGATAAACATTTGATGAAAGAAGAGGTTAAAGATTTGAGATGCTTTGAGAGATAGACTTCATTGATGAACAGAAAATTTTGGAAGTACGAAGGAGAAGAACATACTTCCTGAAATTGAGTGGGGTACAAATGAAGCCTTAAAATTCAATGGCAGCGACGTTACATTTTTTTTCTTTTTTCGGAAACTATTTGTAAATTCACTGGATTTTTCTTACCCTAATAAATTGATGCGTTGGCAATCCACATGAGCATATGATGAGATAAATCTCAAATGAAAATTATTACTGGTTTCTAAAGACCTGCTTAACACCAAATAATCAGCATACACTTTCAAATTACAAAAGAACACAAATTGAAAAGAAAATAATCAGCAAGGTGACCTCATTTCCCATCATCTAATATCTTCCCTTGGATAGCAACCATGGCAAATTTCGCATTCGAACAGCCAAAATCAATAAATAATACATGTGCCTATATAACAATGGCATGATGCCAAACTGGAGAAAACTTTGGTGCTATCCTGTTTCTGATGCCAGACAATCCATCAAACTAATTCTAACATGAGATCACAATACTCATCTCTCACAGTCAACCAGAATATTTTTCTCATTGTCAACAAAAAGTTCAAATTAACCACAGGCGAATTCCTACAAACTTTTGTTTTGTGTACAAAATAACTGGCTATTGTAGCATAAGTTAAGCAGCCCTAAGTACTCTACTAATTTCTAGTAACAAACTAGGAACAATAAATTACAGCCGGCTGTATTAAGAGTCGGAAAAAACATGACAAGGTTGCACAATAGAATAAAATTCTGGAAAAAAAAAAAAAAAAGGAAAAAAAGAAAAAGGATTTGTGAAGCTAATGAATAGCTTTTTCTCTAGGCATGTTCCACCTCAGCAGTCAGGCCATTCCACCCCAGCAGTCAGGCCTCCACACCTTGACCAGGTTGAGTCTCATCTTTCTCAGCTTCGCCTTCATCTTCTTCATCATCTGCCTCATCAGCTAGTTTGGTCAGTTCAGCCTGGATCATGAGCTTTATCGAAGACTTTCTCAGGGTGAGATCCATTTTAAATCGCCCAGCTGGAAGAAGGAAATCCCAATATGGGTTTATCGACTTAATTAAGAACGAAAATACATGCAATGTCATTTCAACAAAACATTATATTAACTGATTTTAGACACCTTTGACACATTACTCTTTACTGTATTTTCATGAAATAAAAAATAAAAAAATAAAAAAAATTTTGTAGACCTCCTAATATCATGTTCACTGATTCTAGTTACCTTTGACACAATTTTCATGAAATTTAAACAGATAATAAAAAAATTGTACGCCTCTCCCCCCCTTCTTGGGTCACCAAAATTTTGTCATAGTTGACATCCTAACCTTGAGTAATAAATCCTAGGCCATTCAAGAGCAGGCCTAATTTCCCATTGAAATGCAATACATCCATAAGGATCATTTAAGCCACTGGAATAATGAAACATTTGGGGCTCGTTTTTCAATGCTCATTACTAAAATGCAACATACTGCTACATAGAATTTGAGTATCATCTAAACTTTCAAGGACACTTTTAAATTAGATTCATAGGCTCGACTTGACTCGACTCAATGATGCATCAGACTCGATATGAGATTTAAGCAAATAAGAATGAAGGCGGCATACCAAGTTGTTTCAGAATGTCAGTGAATGTAGCCTGCAAAACACAGGAAGAAAAGAAGAAAACACTGGTTATCCCTGGCACAATATGAACCAAAAAAAAAAACCTAATTTTCTAACCCACAACAAGAAACAGGAACAAGAAATCAACATGAAAATAGTTGCTAATCTTCATAAAGAAAATGCTCGTTTCGATTTGCTTTTTTATGCCTTCATGCTAAAAAGCAAAAAGCTTGGCATGAGTTTAATTACAAGAAAATTCTAGTAGTGCAACTTGTCCCCTAGTAATTGCATAAGAACATTGGTATGGTATTGACAACATTTTTAGATTTCTTTAGAAAAGACTTAACCACGTTAATTTTGCTATTATGCCATTTTTTATGGCAAAGAGTCTGTATATGAGCTCACCATTAGGTGCGAGGGGGTATATCTAGAAGATATATGGTAGTTCAGCCATAAAAACAAACAACAAATGTGGAGGCAGCTTATTTGGTTGCTCTTAAGAAATTCTTTCACTACAATTAGAAAAAGATGAAATTCTTGCCGTGTTGAAGTCAACAATTATAAAGAGATCAAAGTATACTAATCCTTCCCTTCATTTTCTCTCTTTTTTATTCTCCACTCTCTTATTCAGCAATGGAATATTGTTAATATTATTTAAGGTTATCCCTTACTTCACTAGGAACACAGCTTCATGTACAGCTTTGCCTTTTGGCAGCGTTTTAGGGAAAAAATGCTGCTAAAACTTTTATTTTTAGTTGCAGTCAATAACCGCTACAATAGCCTATCTATAGCAGCCTTTTTCAGGCCGATACAATAAAAAACGCTGCTAAATCTTGATTTTCTTGTAGTGTGTGGAATGCACTTCATCACCTTCCCTTTTAACTTCCGCTGGGGCCATACTGCACATGACATTACTACCAACAATTACTTGATGACCGAAAATTGTTAACACAAACACAAACATGACATTTTCACACGGTTTACCTGTTTGTGCAAACACAAACATTCGCTTGAGAAAGAGAAAGAGAAAGGTTAGCTGCCAATGGAGGGGTTTCCGTTGGAGCGAAGCGTAGAGCGGTTGAAGTTAGGATGGGGGTTTAGTTGAGGGAAAATAGCTGAAGTGAACGGGCCAGAGAGACAGAGAGAGGGAGACAGCTCCATACCTCATATCTAGTTCGAGAGAAGGGCTTCACTTCAGCAATGGAACCAACACAGCCTTCTAGTTACGTTGTTGTTGGAAATCGCCCGTTATATTGTTCCCTACAGAGCTTCGTCAATGGAACGAACCCAACAGGGGCTTCTCTCTGTTAATGGAAATCAACGGTTACACTGACTCAACCTTACACAGAGAGGAGAACAGAGAGAGATAGAGACGAAATACAGAGAGTGAGTGGGATGCAATCATGCAAATACAAGCATTAACCGGTTGCCCCGGTTTCAACTTTTTCACGATTAAACAATTCAATGGTCTTGATCAATTATAGTAATCTAACGGCTAACAATTGGGTTGCATATGGTGTGCAACCTTAAGGGGGTTGCACACTTAAGCATGACCCTTTATTTAAAGCATGAGTGGTGCTGGTGCTGGTGCAGGTGCAGGTGCGGTAGGTGTGTATTTAAGGTTTGACACGTCAAATCTCTAAATAAAGAAAGCATGGACTTGGCTAAAATGCACCTAAAAATTAGATACAAATACATAAATAAAACAAAAGGTATTAAGAAAATTAGTAGCGATTTAATCCTACTATGTAGGCCGAAGTTAGTTGGATTATTAGTTGGATTAGAGTTTAATAATAGGACGAGTGAAAAGATAGCCCAATTAATATTTTAACTATAAAGTATTGTGGCCCAAACAATGATAAAGTTTGGACAGGCTGGTTAGGGTGATTTTTTGGAAAACTTACCAATAAGTCCTATATACAAAGTTTAAGACTTATCTAATTCTCAAACAAAACACTTGCACCAATTAGTCCTACACATTTTTAATTGTTACCAAATAATTTTTTTTTTAATTTATAGACACTGTTATATCTTACTATCGTCGAACTTCCGTGAAACGGTCACCGGAGACTCGTCAGAATGTTCAACATCACCGGAAAGTCGCCAGAGTATTACCGGGAAGTCGCTAGAGTATCGCCGGAAGTTCACCGAAGTGTTAAGAACGTTAATGGAAGTCGCCGGAATGTTCAGAACGTTCACTGGACGTTAAAAACATCATTGGAGACTCACCGGAATCTCTAGAATATTGCCGGGAAAAAAAAAAGAATAAATGAAGAAATTAGAGAAAAAAAAACATAGCAAAATGTGTTAAATATTGATAAACTAAAAGAAAAAAAAAATGAAACGACAAAAAACAGCAACAATAGAAAAAACATATGCTAGTTTTCAATTTTTGTAAGGTTTAAGCAAATAATTTCCAATATTGATCAAACTGAAAAGTAAGTTTTGAAACTGTAAAATGTTACAGTTTCAAAGAAAAAATCTATTAAGCATTTATCCTTATTAATCAAACTGAAAAACATGTTATGAAACTGTAAAATTTTACAGTTCTAAAGAATGTTATGAAATTGCAAAATTTTACAGTTGTATACCATGATTCATTCCAGCACCAAAAAATTTGAAACTGCAAAATTTTACAGTTTTAAACCATGATTCATTCCAGCACCAAAAAAATTTGAAACTGTAAAATTTTTCAGTTTTCACCGTCTGTAACTAAAACTCGAAAACGACTTTTTCAAAAGTTGAAAATTTTCTCCATTAGAACAGAAAAAGGGAAGTGTATAACAGAGAAAATGTAGAAAAAAAAATAAGAGATCGAAGAAGAAAGGCGGATATAGAGAGAAGATTGTACTCCGGCAACTATTTTTTTTGTTTAGATCTAGCCAAATCTGATGTAGATCTACTCAGATCTGACGTAGATCTACATCAGATCTAAGTAGATCTACTCATCTTCTTTGTCGGAAATATATCTTCTGCGTCGTCGGTGAGGGTGAAGTCACGGGTTGATTTTGATGGTTGGTGGTTACCGGTGAACCGCGATCAATGAAGAAAGACGTGATCACCGGTCATCGTCCATGACAAAGAAGATGAGAGAAAAATGCAAAAAAAAAAAAGAGAGAGAGGAAAACGTAAAGAGTGAGGCAAAAAGCAGAGAGAAAGAGAGAGAGAGAGAGAGAGAGGAAAGTAGAACTTTTGGGTCTACTCAAAAAGTTATTAGATTAAATAGTGTCCACATATTTCAAATAGGACCTGTGGGTAATTTTCCCTTCTATTTTCACTCAAATAATAAATTAGTACGTTTAATAAAAATTTTAATTCTTATTATAGTTTAATATAAATTTACTAATAAGGACAATACTAATTAAATCCTAAAATAAGATATTATTTTTTTCTCATGGTACATCTAAATTATTTATACGTATTCTTTATATTCAATACTCTTAATCTTTTTCTCAAAGTTTTAATTTTTTTCTTTTCATTTTCTTCTTCACTCGAAAACTCCAAAGTCCAAAATCCATTCCACCAAAACTCACAATTGTCATTAATATTATTATTTCTTATTGTGTTGTTACTTACAAATAGAACAAAACAAGAACACAATAGTATGTGCCATTGTAAAAAAAATAAAAATAAAAAATCTGGGTATTGTCAAGAACACAATAATTTTTTTTATTCAATTAATCAAAAAAAGAAAAAGAAAAAAGCATCTTGTTCAATTAATCAAATCAAAAAATAATTAATGTCTCGTTTAATTAATCAAACATCAACTAGTATTATTCTAGAAAGTACTAGTTTTTGGGAATTGTTAGATGGCTAGAGACGCCATGGAGGCTCAACAACAAAACTAATTTTCAATTTTCAAGAGATTATCATGGGATTTTTCAACAAAGTGTTTCATGAGGTTATCACTAATATTATAGGAACACATATAAGTACATATGATGCTATATAGAATAATTCACACCAATCGTTCTTTGTATATGGATAAAATGAATAGTTGTAATGAGAAAATTGTTCAAGGGTTTTTGAAAAGGTTTTTCAAAATGGTGTAATTTGGATGTATTTTGAAGGGTATTTTGTGAAAAAATATAGGGTGTACTGAGAGTAAACTATAATCCCAAATAATTTAATAAAATCTATTAAGAAATTAGGCATACTTAATATTTTTTGGGTGCAAATAGAATCCCCTGGCCTGTTATTATTCTTTTGAAAGTGTGGGCTAGCCCATTATGATTATTCTTTTTAGGGGAACTTACCAGTTGGTCTTATACAAAAAATTCAAAACCTATCTAGTCTCAAAACAAAATATTTGTATCAATTAGTCCTAAATATTTTTAATTGTTACCAAAAAATCTTTTTTTTTTTTAAAAAAAATTACAAATGCTGCTACATCCCACCACCATCAGACTTCCGCCAAACGATTACCGAAGACTTGTCAGAATGTTCAACATCACCAGGAATTCGCCGGAGTATCCCCGAAAGTTCGTTGAAGTATCGCCGGAGTGTTCTGAATGTCACTGGAAGTTGCCGGAATGTTCAAAATGTTCGCTGGACGTTAAAAATATTGTCGGAGACTCATCAAAATGTCCAGAATATTGCTGGAAAAAAAATAGAGAAATTAGAGCGAAAAACATAACAAAATGTGCTAAATATTGATAAACTGAAAAAAAAAGTAACAACAACAATGGAAAAATATATATATATATATATATGTTATTTTTTAATTTTTGTACGGTTTAAGCAAATAATCTCCAATATTGATCAAACTGAAAAGTAAGTTTTGAAACTTTAAAATGTTATAGTTTTAAAGCAAAAACCTATTAAGCATTTATCTTTATTAATCAAACTAAAAAACATGTTATGAAACTGTAAAATTTTACAGTTTTAAAGCATGATTCATTTTAGCATCAAAACAATTGAAACTGTAAAATTTTACAATTTTCACTGCCTATAATTAAAACTTGAAAATAACTTGTTCAACATTTGAAAATTTTCTCCATTAAAACAGGAAAAGAGAAGTGTATAACAGAAAAAAGGTAG